AAAGCATGCAAAGTGAGAGCAGCATGCATGCATGTGCGGTCACGTGACACATGATGATCACATAACCACGAATTGTCATGTAGAGCATGGACAGATGACCCAACTGATCCGAAATTCAAGCAGGGTTAAAGTTTGACAATTTTCCTGTAAGAATCACATGGTTTTTGGTCTTTAATTCCATTGCTCAATTTGTAACGATGCCTCGAGTATCGGCTGTTCAGAGAGAGCGAGCAGTGGGTTTGCTTAATGCTGGATTATCCACCCGTGCAGTGGCCGCACAGTTCAACTGTCACATGTTGACAATTGTTAGACGCTTCCAGCGTCTTCAACAAACAGGCAGCACACGTGACCGTCAACGTCCGGGACAACCAAGCGTCACAACCCCATATCAAGACCACTACATCCAGGTCACCTATTTGTGGAACCGGTTCCAGCCAGCAGCGAGGACAGCTTCAGCAATCCGTGGGAGAAGGGGGAGAATCAGTCCTCAAACTGTGAGACTTCGTTTACGTGAGAGAAGGCTACGTGCACGTCAACCTCATGTTGGTCCAATTCTGACACGTAGACATCGTCAGGCACGTCTCGCTTGGTGTAGACATCATCGCAGATGGACACACAGAGAGTGGACAGGAATCCAGATTCCACCTTAGTCACGCTGATGGACGTTTGTGTGTGTGGGGTAGACGCGGTGAGCGTTACGCCAATTGCTGTGGTTTGGAGGCTAATCGCTGGGGCGGCATCAGTGTGTTTGACAGGACCCCTTGCATGTCTTTCGAGGTCGTGTTACCGCCCAAACGTACACGCAGGACGTTTTAAGGCCTATCGTTGTCCCTCACATGATGACCCATCAACGTCTGCACACTCTGCAACAAGATAACGCCAGGCCCCATACCGCAAGGCATACCATGGAGTTCCTGCTACAGAACAACATCAGTGTCATGCAATGGCCATCGCTGTCTCCTGATTTGGCACCCATCAAGCATGTCTGGGATGAGATGGGGAGGAGACTTGCCAATGTGGCGCCACCTCTCAACTTGCAGCAGCTGGAAGCGTCTCTCCGCAGGATATGGCAACAGATCCCTCAGGATTTCTTAAGGATGGTCATCTTTTCTCTCAGGAGGAGGTGTGTGGCTGTTATTGATGCTGATGGTGGACACACGCGATACTGACGTTGTCTTTCTTCTTGTTGTTTACCTGTGTAACTTTTGATTTGACCCCGTCTCTGTTTAACCCACGTTGCCTTGGTCAATAGATGCAGTACAACTTCATAACGCATTTCATTCTCTTCTTAAATGGTCACTTATCACATCGTTCTCTAAAAAATTCTTGGATGCCAAAACGCACCTAAGACATATGCTAATCTATCAGTGATGCGATTCTAATGGCTTTCAGTATACGTTTTCTCACAAACGGTATGTAAGGTCGTCTTGGTAGCCTAGTGGTTAAAACATTCGCCCATCACGCCAAAGATCCGGGTTCGATTCCCCACATTGGTACAATCTGTGAAGATCAGTCCCCAGCAGTGATACTGTTGGAATATTTCCAAAAGCGGCGTAAAACCATACTCACTCACCTGCAGTTGTGTTAGAAAAAGAGGAGCTGGTGCCATCGGGTCTCAGAGATCCATGTGATCTAAGTGAGTTACACATAAAGCTTATTAGTCAGCTCGACCTTAAACACAGATCTCATCACATCACCTCTTCCTTAATTATCACCCGCGTCTAGTCGACTTACGTGTACTAAATGTCAGCCGCTGACTATCTCTGTGGATGACCACATACTAGTGTCCATCGTGCCCTTATCAGTAGAAGTCATCACCATGGTAACATGTAATATACAAGCAATATTTACCAGAAAAAGTATTGTCTTGAAATAATCCAAATTATATAAGAATTCTCTCGGTGAGTGAGTGAGTTTAGTTTTACGCCGCTTTAACAGTATTCCAGCAATATCACGGATCCATGGGCTTCACCCATTGCACCATTGTATGGAATCAAACCCTCTCCTCGGCGTGACGAGCGAACGCTTTAACCGCTAGGCTACCCCACCGCCCCTTGTAAAGAAGGGAATATGTACTTTATTGCAATACGTTGAAAGTTGACCGTGTTTTATATAATAAAATTATGCATACCTGTAAACTGTTATATCTTGCAAACGCTTTAGGCCGATTATATTCACAATGGCTCGTTTAAATTGGAGTTCAAGTAATTTCAGCGAGGATTAAGTGTACAAATGCACGTTCTTGCATTGTACCTGTTATTTAAACGCAAACCGGTTAGCCTTTAAACTGAGACGTTTTTATACTCTGGATATTAATGGTATCTCCAGCCGTTGGATAAAGTAGAGTTACACAAAGTGTCAGTAAAGTTGACCTATCGACCTCTCCGTTTTATAAATTATTGTGGAGTAGGTCGACGCCTGTTATAGCGGGAAATAAAGGTACAAGTGAGTGGCACTTATATCTTAAGAGATAAACTTTATGTGTTATCGGATTTGCGGGTGTTATTGATTACTTAGTACACGGTATTTTCATTTAAAACCGACGGCGAAAGCGGGTTTCAAATTTCTAGATTTCCAAGCGTCCAGTACTCCATAACACCCGCATATACGAACACAGCTAATGTTTGTGCAAATAGAAAATATTATTTTCTGTAGCACTCTTTCTACCCTAAAGTGATACTGATGTGAGCCATATATAGAGGGTACTAAACGACCTCCTGTGTAATACCATTTTTATTAAACGAGTTAATGATTTGGTGAAACTCGTGAAAGATTAAAAGTATCAAACTCGCTTTCGCTCGTTTGATACTTTTAATCTTTCAAGAGTTTAATAAAAATGGTATTACACAGAAGGTCGTTTAGTATTCTGTTTATTACCCTCCAACATAAACTGGTAGAAACTGCCTACAGTGTGATGACTCTCAGCTTTCCGCGAGTCAAGCAAGGTATAATACCACTGTGACAGAGGCATTAGCATTGTGACGTCATAACTGCAAACCATTATGACGTCATACGTCTAGCGGTATTACACTAGTGTAATATTGCCGTAAAAATATAACACTGAGGTAGCTTTCACGGGTGAGTAATAAATAACGACATGATACAAATTGATGATATTTACAAGAAAACGTCTTTAATATATATTATTTTGCTGAATGACATTTCTTTCAATTGGTGGGATATGCTGCTTATCAAGTTCGTAGCCTGTAAAACATCCACGTGATTTGATTTCCAAGATTCATCTTCTGAGATTGTTAACCTCGTACGGTTTAGTTAGGGACTGAGTGAGTGTTAGTGAGGACGGTGGGTTTAAGTCCGTTTCGAACCGTATTTGAGTTGTTTCAGCGTAAAGTATGGAATGTTAGACTTTTATCGCTTTCATCACAAATCTGAAATCATAATCACAGAAGACCGCATCCGTGGTGTAGTGGTTAGAGCGTCCGCCCGGAGAGCGGAAGGTCGCGGGTTCGATCCCCAACCGCGTCATACCAAAAGACGTTAAAATATGGTACTTGTTGGTCCCTGCCTGGCGCTCGGCATTAATGGGTACAACAAGGACTGGTCGGCTCGGAGTTAGTATAATGTGTCTGAGTGGGGTATTCATGCTTCACTGCGACATGGTATCTCAGTGAGCTAGCACTATAAAACCAGCTTACGTCTGGGCTAGTACTAGCAGCCACACATACACATACACACGCATGCACGTCGTCATATGAGCGAAATATTCTCAAGCACGACGTTAAACCCAATTTCACCTCACCTCACCTCATAATCACAGGAACACAAAATTCGAATCATTGACTAGAGGATCCAGTCGCACCCAAGGGACACAACTGTGCACATCGGAGCCATGACTGTGCCATTTAGTGCACCAAATCTTCTATTTAAATTTATCAGCAAAGCAAACGTTAGCATGCCTCTGGGAAATGAAATAAACATATTTAAATGAATTTACGCAGAAAACACCGGGTTGTGGGGGATTACATTTCCCCACTGTGTTTGAATATGTCCATTAAATTTAATTTTCTGAATATTTTCGCATGCTTTCAATCATGTAGAAATGAAATTATCTATATTATCTCCTAACTTTATTGACCTTCATAAAAATCCGTTTAAGTTTAATAATCAGAATTCGTTTGATGTTCGACCAGAGAATCAGTCTGAAAGGGTTTTTTAGTAACTGAAAGTCAGCATTTAAGTTTCCATTTACTGTATGAGCTATCAGAACAGACACCTTTCTCTAAACATTTTGTATTTGGTAGTGAGTAAGTAAATGTTGCTTCAAGCCGCATGCATTTGGTAGAGGCGGTATATTTGTGGGATATGTGGGTGTCATGTAATTAGTTTACAGGTAAACATGAACGTATATTAAAATAAACCGCCGGAAACATATAAACCTGATGATTGTATTGGACTCAAAATTAGATGTGTAATTACACCACCACATGGCTGGATACAGATGGCTAAACGACGCAAACACATATCAAACACATGCATATGGTGCCTGTATCCTGTACGTCGCCATAGGTTAACATTTAATATTTTACCATAATGTTTTTACACATGCTTTAAAATACAGAAATGTTATATGTGCTTTGTAAAGGCCGTGTAAAAAAATGAAAATGCACAAACCTTTGACAGTTAAACAATATCAGTTAACTTCAAAAGTGAGTGAGCATTGTATCATGCCGCTTTAGCAATACCAAGGCGTTGAAGACGCGAAATGGAAAATACATTCACGTTTAAATAATAACTTCAAAACTACAGAAACGTGTGATGGAAGAAAAGCTTAAAGATTGTGGAATGATCCTGTTTAACGAAATTTAAACAAACAGATATTTGAAACCAACAATCATGATAAAACTTACCATAGGCACGTACCTGCAAGTGGCTCCAGAGTTAAAAAATAACTGAAGAACTACAGAAACGTGTGTGATGTTGCCAAAAAAAATCTAAAAGATTGTGGAACAATCATGATAAAAAGTACTATTTGGACGTACCTGCAAATGGTTCCAGAGTATAACCCGTGACCACTGCTAGAGTTCCAAGCAAGACGGCGGTCAACACCATCAAGAACTGTGGGCCCCGTCTCATGATGCTTGCGGCGTGATGGAAAGACAGTACCTCGCTGCCAGTCGCCAGTTTTGTTTGCCTCGGTGCCCAACCCACGTGCGCTCGTAGCATGCGACTTGCCTCTCACTCCTGACTGACAGCTGATTCCAGTGCTCTAGGTGTCTCTTATCGCCGACAGTTACCAGTAGTTCAGTGCTCAAGGCGACTCTTTCCGCCGACAGTTACCAGTAGTGCAGGGAGATATAGAATTACCGGGTTTATATGCCCGTAACGCAGTTCAATGCACACCTGGCGTGGTCCCTGATTGGTTTACCTGGTGGACGGACGTGGACGCGTGGACACAACACCGTGACCACGACTCTCGATCTTATTGATCGTAAATCGTCACTTGTAAAATTGTCGGTATGATTGGTAGAACTCTTCTGATTGGTATGCGGGTTGGCGTGGGGTAAATGTTTTTCAGTATACGTGGGGGCAGCTGTCGGAAGTTGAAGCTACCGCTCAGATTCGCCCGTGATGAAGGATAGGCGTGTTTACTACTATTTAAACATGTCACAGATAGTATGTAAGAATAAATTAAACTGATACTCCCTGTCCTGGTACTTGCCGGACAAATGAAATAAACACCCATGTTTGAAAGGAAGCTTGAAATAGACAAAAACAAAGAAATAGTTTGCGTTGACAACCGGTCAAATGGAATAAACACTCACGTTTTGAAGGTGGCTAAATAACAAAGAGAAACCAAGAAATAGTTTTCATTTGTGGAGTATTTGATACACGTATCACAGTGTAGCGATTTGGGCGAAATTTTGATGCATTTTGTCAACTGTTTTCAGCCTAGTAACGTTTTGATAACATTTGTAATTTTCTTTGTCAAATCCAGATTTCAGGTTTAATCTTTCATTTGCCTGGCAGAATATGTGAAAATCAAAAATACAAATACTCCGTGACTGGGTAAAGTGTTCGCCTGTCACGAGAAGATAGGGTTCGATTCCCCACATGGGTACAGTGTGTGAAGCCCATTTCTGGTGTCCCCCGCTGTGATATTGCTGGGAACGTGTTGAGAAAGTAAAAGCTGTTTGAATGTCATCATATTAAAGTAGTCATGATGTTGATCACTGGTTCGTCTCGTGCAGACTCGATCTCCTTCTTGACTAACTGCTGCGACACAGATGGAATATTTTTAAATATTTTTTTTATTTTTTTTTATTGGTTAGATATGGAATATTACTGAGTGCTGCTTTGTAGGAAAAAACCAAAACAAATAACCTTTTTTGCACTGGAGACAAACTCTGGCTCCAAGGATAAGGAGGGAGCAGGGAGCTGTCTGTAACGATTCCATACGGGGCGGTGGGGTAGTCTCGTGGTTAAAGCTTTCGCTCGTCACGCCGAAGACCATGTTCGATTCCCCACATGGGTACAATGTGTGAACCCTATTTCTGGTGTCCCCCGCGGTGATATTGCTGGAATTTTGCGGCGTAAAACTAAACACACTCACTCACCCTTCTTGATACTATTAAACCCGTAACAAAGACAAAATGAATGTCATCCATGCGACTTATCTGCCAATTAAAGTATGTACGACTTGTTATGGTTTCTAGATATGAAAAGACGCATGCTATTCAATTGATATATACTCAGCAGCAAAAGAAACGTCAGTTTGGAATATTCCTTCGCAGAAACGGATAACTGTAAACTCATTTAATGTTTTGATTGTATATTTTTGACAACATCTTCCCAAACTCAGAATTGAACCCAGGAAATGGTCTCAAAGGCGCAACCTGATCTCGGAGATGGTACGGTGTTCTCCATGTTTTTCATGCAACTCATGCTGCACGTGCTCTTCACAAGGACCAGCCCTATAAAATGCACCCCCAAACCTCGTTGAAACATTCACATTACAATGTCAGCAGGATGCCGCGACTCACGACAGCTCAGAGGAACCAGGCGCTAGGAAGACTTGAAGCTGGCCACACTGCACAAGCCGTTGTCAATCACTTCCAGGTCAACGTTCGGACCATCTACAGGTTGCAGCAACGTATCCGGGCCACCAACACCAAAAATGATCGCCCCCTTACTGGCAGACCAAGGGTGACCACAAGACGACAAGACCGTCATGTTGTGCGACAGCATGTACAGAATCCCTTCATGCAGGCATCCGAAACAGCACGCCAGACAGTGGGAACACACAGAAGACCAATCAGTACTGATACAGTACGCCGACGTCTTAACAGCGGGAACCTCCATTGCCGTATCCTCACCCCTCGTCATCGGCGTGAACGTCGACAGTTTGCCCTACAACACCAAAACTGGCGATACAGACATGGGAAACTGTTCTGTTCACAGATTAGAGTCGGTACTGCGTATCAACTGCAGATGGCATAACAAGAATATGGCGACGACGTGGCCAGCGTTACTCAAACCATTGTGTTATGGAAAGAGACTAATGGGGAGGTGCAAGCATCATGGCATGGGGTGGAATAGTCCTGAACCAGAGAGTGGGTCCTGTTGTGTTCCAGAACCTTGGTCCAGGGAGAGGAGGCGGCATCACAGCTGTGCGCTACATCGACCAAGCTCTCAGACCCCGCGTCATACCACATTTCGCACGTCACCGGAACAACATTTTCCAGCATTTGAAACAACGGAATTTGACATTAAGAAACATGGCGACGATATCGTAGCGCTTCGAGTGGAAATCGACAAAGCCGAGAAAGCTAACGAACAACTCGGGAGACAGTTCCTACTGAAGGACATACATGACCGGAAAGTAAATTTACTATTCTATGGCATCAAAGAAGTCACTGAAGAAAACACGGAAATGCTTTTGAGAAACTTCTTGATAGATAAGCTTAATTTCACAGTGGAGAGGGTAGCCGACATGTTGTTTAAAACTGTACACCGCCTACCGATCTCGGAGTATCAACAGAAAAACCGCCAACATCCAGTACGCAGTATAATTGCCTCATTTATGTCAATACCGGAGAGAGACGCAGTCTTGAAATCTGGGAAAGCCCCCAGAATTGAGCGTTCACAGAATTGAAAGCGTTCAGTCGGCCGAAATTTAAATCAACCGGTCTATATGTTGAGAAAGAAATTGGCCGACAGTCGACAGAAAGTTCGATACGAACCAACCGGTCAACAAGGACAAGAGTATGGTAAAGTTTGATCGACGGATCAACAAGAAACCCAAGTATGGTAAAGAAGGACTACGACTTACGGAGCGCCTTCAACAAGGAACCCAAGTCAGTATGGTAAAGATACGAGTAATACGCCTTACGGAGCGCCTTCAACAAGATCAACGAAATGAAGACAGTTTCGCAAAGGTCAAGGCTATTAATTGTTTACATTCAGTGTCAAGGTCAGACAATCATGTGTTTTTCGTGCAGAATTTAGCACGTGTGTGTGTGTGAGTGGCCATGCGCGAGTGAGGTAGACTCGATTGGATGTGAATAGTGTTCCGTGGAATTTTCGTGGAAAATTCACTATCGGAGCCTACATAATTTGGACATTACCCAAAACCAACGGAGTGAGTAAATCTGGACTTTGTTGTAGGATGTTTTCAATTTCATATCACTCGTTTATCCGAGGCCAGAACATTTACATGGAATAATAGCACTGTAAAGGATTCTAAATCAGTCAAAAACCCATTTGTGGTGTTCCCGGGCCGTGATATTGCTGGAGTCTTGCCGGAAGCGGCGTAAATCATACTTATCCACCCACTCACTCTCAATCAATCCATGATCAGTCCGTTTGAGTCAGAAACGGACCAATGAATTGCAAATTTTATCATTGTACAAAATTGCCACATAAATAGAAATAGTACACATGTTTATCATTTACTAATACCCAACAGCTTTCTTATATTTGAAAAATTTCCGGACTCCACCAAAAAGGTTGTTTAAGAAACTATCATCATTGAAAACGCAAAAGTTGTTATCTATCGCGGCGGGGTGAAACCGCAGAAACGGAACAGCCAGTCATGGCGGGGGGCATCTCAAAATCTATTCCGGGAGACCTGTCGGTTCCTCGTCCGTCGTAGTGTCATAGTCACGACTTAAAGGGATGACAAGTGGTGCCACAGTTGCCTGTTGTAAGCCACCCCGAGACCAGTAACCTTGTTCAATGACGTTAGCTACCTTGTTGACACAGTTTTGCCAAGTTTCAGTCGTGATTTTGTTAAGGGATTCCTTAACCAAAACCTCTACGTCACGTAATTTTGTGTTTGATCTGGCAGCATCTCCGTTGACAATACCCCATATCATTTCAATGGGGTTAAGGTCACAGTGATAGGGTGGAAGTCGCAGAATATCGTGATCCTTACTGTTATGTAACTGTCAACTTTGTAGAAAGGTTCACCTTTGTGGGTTTTTATGATCTCATATAGCTGATGCTTCGTTGCCTTTGAAGGCCGTGCGATCTGAAATTTGTCGAGCCATGATATCATATCACCTTTTCGACTGTTCGATGTCGGGGTCCTGCACGCTGTGGTATGGGTCATTGTCCATTACGATAAAAGACTTCTCTGGTAGAGCTGGTACCAACTTGTTTTTAACCCAATTGAGGAAAACCGCACCATTCATCTCGGAATGGTAGTCTCTGTTATCTGTGGACTTTGTCCTGAATACCAAATCGTAGCCTGGGAGAAAGCCTTTGCTGGAGCAACCAGCATGGAGAATGATTAGTTTCTCTCCTTTCCCTTGAGGCAGCTTTCTACGTGACCCCTTATCACCCCCATCGGGTACCCACTGACTGCTGGCAGTGTGCGAGGCATTGACCCAGGTCTCGTCCAAGTACACTGGCTCGAACCCTTCCTCGCGCTTCTTCTTTATAACCCTGAGAAAATTATTTCTCAAGCGAACGATATCAGGGCGTTCACAGAGTACTGACCTATTCTCCCCCGAAATTTTCTTATAACGATACCGGAAAGAGTGTAAGAGTCGCCAGAGTGTGTAATTTGATACTCTGAGGTTGTGTTCTTGCTTCAAATGTTTTTTAAAAAATTTCAGCGACATGTATTTGTTTTCAGAATAGAGCTTGTTGATAGACTGCCTTACAAGGTTCTTTTGAAAGTTGTCGAGATGTTTTAATTTGTGTGATTTTGACACGACCCCTACCTGCTTCGCATCACCCTCACAATGTTTGTGTTCCAGACCATTTGTCAGTACCCTTGCTGATACTCCTAAAGTTTTTGCTGCCCGCTTACGGAATTTATTAATGGCATAAAATGGTT